ATATAAATATACACATGTAAATACGTATATATATATGATATATATATGCATATACATATATGATATACATACATATATATATATATATGTTTATATATATTTATATACATGTATATATATATATATATAAATATATATAATGTTTATATATAATATATTAAAATGAATATTTGTAATTGTTTCCAACTCAAATTCGTATTGTCACACTACGCAGATTTTTTGAATAAACGCATCCGTAGGTTAGGTGTTCAGAACACTTCATTCCCTCTGTTTGTATCGCAACGTGTTCTGATGAAGGAGAAAGATCATATTGAGGGTTTCGCACCCGAGGTAGCCTGGGTGACCAAGGCTGGAAATTCGGAAATGGCAGAGCCCTGTGCTATCCGCCCGACTAGTGAAACCGTCATGTACCCTTATTTCGCGAAGTGGATTCGTAGTCACCGCGACTTGCCTCTGAAGATCAACCAGGTATGAGTTTGATGTAGAATGTGAATAGTAAAACTTCACAACGGACATCAAGCCTCAAATGTATATGCTAGGGAGATTTCCTTGTAATATATATATTCGAGTGCTATTTATTGCATCGGTGTACACATGTATGGGCGCGAATATGCATATGTATCGGAGGTGCTCTTGAGCATGTATCGATATGCATTCAAAGTGATATGTCTTTATCTAGGTATAGTGATTGTAGCGATGAGCTTGCTACCGTGCGACTGTGTTAAGTATCGCTCGTGACAATATCCATCAACGCATTCTACTTTGCGTTCACATCGTCCACACATACATAAAGTGTCGTGTCTTTGTAAACGTACATAAAGTATATATTAATATTATGGGTCTGCGATCAAGTCACGAGCGGGTGTAAAGAATATTCGCAATACCCCTCCACTTATTTGTTGTATTTTAACATGATCATCTGAACATACCAGACTTCTACACGCGAATGTGAATTGTACAAAATCGTTCATGTTCACCGGTGGAAGTATCTTGCATGCCGGGCCGGTATTGACTTTTATAATACTCGAATTCCAATCTATGTGCTTTTGCTTGCCGCGATGTCGCGAATCTAGTTGGTCTTCGCAACGCCTCATCGTAGTTTTATACACTAATTTCCGGTTGAAGTTTATGACAGCACATATACACCACGTAATACTTATTTAGTTCTCATCTGGGGTTTCTCTTGCTTGTAGTGGTGCAATGTAGTTCGTTGGGAGTTCAAGAACCCACAGCCTTTCCTGCGCACACGCGAGTTCTTGTGGCAGGAAGGTCACACAGCCCATGCCACCCAGGCGGAAGCCGATGCGGAAGTACTGACCATCCTCGAATTCTATAGGCAAACTTACGAGGATCTGCTTGCAGTTCCCGTGACACCAGGTAATTTATACCTTCAAACTGAACGGTTTGACTGGGGTTCGTTTAGTTCACCGGTAGTTGTACTTGACTTTAGTAGTTTGCCCCGATTAGTTTTGAGAATGCAGCAGTTTGATTGTGACGCTCACCTTCACTTCTTTCCGATTTCAGGAGTTAAATCTGAGAAGGAAAAGTTCGCAGGTGCTCTATACACCACAACAGTCGAAGCATTCGTGCCTGGTAGTGGCCGCGCTATTCAGGGTGGTACATCGCATTGTTTGGGCCAGAACTTCAGTAAGATGTTCGACATCACTTTTGAGAATGAGAATGCGGTGGAAGGAGCTAAGAAGTCACACGTCTGGCAGAACAGTTGGGGGTTCTCTACCAGGTACGATTTGCATTGTAGAGACACGGAGACTCCGCCCAATCGCGTGCTTTCACGTCGATGAAGCGAATAGCATGTGCGACTAAGCATATGCATTGCTGAACTACCCGATAAATCGAGGTTTAAGAGTGCTTTATCGCGTTGCACAAAACTTTCGAATGATAAACTTGTTGACGTTCGTTTTCGCTTTCCCTGTCAGATCTATCGGAGTATGTATAATGGTACACGGAGACGACAAAGGATTGGTCATGCCTCCACGAGTAGCGTTGTACCAGGTTGTTGTCATTCCATGTGGCATCACAGCTAAGACGTCTGACGAGGTATGAAATCAAATTCTTGCGACAAAATAGTGACGTGTTCAAGTAGATGATCAACCAAACTGCGAGGAAAGCAAGCTTATGTGCAGTATTTTTGTCCTTGTAGGATCGCAAGTTTATATCAGGCGAATCTCAGAAGCTCGGCGATATGCTGAGGATGGCAGATCTGCGAGTTACCACCGATACGAGGTCCAACTACACTCCTGGATGGAAGTACAGTCACTGGGAGCAGAAAGGAGTGCCAGTGCGTATCGAGGTATGTGAAGTCGGACAGATGAGCCGTTTTCTTACTATGCTATATATAGAGTTGTGGTTTTCGCGTTTTCGTCCTTTTCTTGTATATTTAAATAGTGTATGGTTATTGGTTGTCACATCCCCAGCACTATTAGAGCCGACGCAAAAGCCTCGCTTATTTCTATGTTTTTTTTTCATAATTGACACCCAGGTCGGACCTAAGGATCTCGAAAAGAAGTCTGTGATGGCAGTTCGACGTGATACCGGCGAAAAGATATCGCTCGAAATCGACACACTCGCAGAGTCTCTTCACAAGCTGATGGACACCATTCACGACGACTTGTTTGCAAAGTAGGTCCTTGATAGTAGTCATTCTAGGTCCGTATCTGCTCGTTTATTATTTTCTAGATATTGTATATTTGTAGCAGGTAGTTGTTCGTGTGTCAAACCAAACTTTGGAGATACGCAACCTTCAAACTAAAATGTATTTATCTGGACCTCGATTGAACAGAGCCAAGAAAGAGACGCTAGCTCACAAGCCTATTGTCGAATCATGGGAAGAGTTCCTGACAACTTTGGATGCCGGCAATCTGTGCCAAATGCCATGGTGCGAAGAGGTCGCCTGCGAAGAGAGTATAAAGAAGGATAGTACCAGGTATGTATTTTCGTTGCAAGCGTTTCCGCGATTCGAGCTCTTGTTGTGGCCAAGGCACCAGCTGAAATCCCATTGTCGGGGTTTGGAGGTTAGATTACCCAAGTGTTGGCTCACCTAGGAGTGAAAATTGCTGCATTATATTAGGACCCCTACTTGGTTTCTAATTATGTTCGGTGTTTTTTCATACCACAGATCTATGGATATCGACGATAAGGCGCCCTCCATGGGTGCGAAGTCCCTGTGCATTCCATTGGTACAGCCAGCGGACGCGAAGGGCAAGGCCTGCGTAAAGTGCGGGAAGCCGGCGAAGAGCTACACAATGTTTGGACGCAGTTACTAAGCTGAATAGTAGAGGGACGGGTGTTTCTCTGCAAAATAACTTGTGCGCCGCCGCAGAATAACCTAGTTTGCGTCTTCTGTCTAGTCGGACTCTCTTTTAGATAGAGCTCCGCACCTTTTTGAATTTAGTTCCCGTCACAGACTTCGATGGATTGAACATATAATGACAATAGTGTATATAAAAGCTAGAATAGTTGTATTAAAATTAATGCCTGCTACGAATTCAGCGCACGAGCAAGTGAGGCCTTGAGCTGTCTTCAATTGATTGCGATAGTCGCATCCACCGCTTCTTTACCAGTTTGCTATTAATAGTCGCATAATCTGGCATGATCACGTGACTGCTGCGATGAAGATTACGATGAAAACGTACTTCCAAAGGATTCTAATCCGAGACTTTACTACAAGGGTTTATTCGAATATTTGGTAGTAGAGTAGACCTGCTCTCTTCCTTATTGTTGTTTTCTCTATGACCCTGTAATTGAAACAGCTTGTGTCGAGATGTGTTTTTGTAAACACACTCTATTCATGGCCATTACATTTGGAAAGTTACGGTGGCTATAATAGTAATTTCCTCGCCCAACGGTCTGCCGATTAGCGTTGCACTACCATAGGGAACACGATAGCAATATTAATGTATTTGCTCATGTGCAGAGGGGTACTAGTGGAGTGCGTCGCTGTCTCACTTAATCACTGCCTCACTTTGAATGTCGATTCTATGTGACATTGTTGGATACACAGACCGAGACAAGAGTGCATGGTGTCAATCACACATGAAACCTGCACTTGAGGTAGGTCATGTCGTCAGTGGATCATAGGTCCGATGACCATATCCATCCAGCTAGCTAGTGCAGAGCGAAATACAGACGTTAACCAGGACAGAAAAATAAGGTAAATTTGCGGATAGTCTGTATCATGGTGTCGCAAAGTACTTAGTACAAACGACTATCTCGATATCATTGATGGTCATACGAAAGAGATAAATGAACGAAAGATGAATCTCAACGTACGAGATACAAGGTAGTTCTCGAAACAGCCACAAGGAATGCTCCTTGGTACTGATAACAACAGAAATCCATTCCGTTGCCACAGATGATATACACCGCGGCTTACAGCGCAACATAAGGTTAAGTATGCGAGACCAAATATTATGATGCGCATTTCTCCTTGTATCATCACAACTACACAGACTCTTCCCAAGTGGGTTGTGCATGCAAAATCTCTTGTTTTATCTGAAGCATACAAAGCTTGAAGCTGGTCGTACTTATACGGGATTTAGTAAAAACAGAATATTGCAACTAGCACTGACAGAAGTCGTGCGATTATGTAATCAATAGTGTCAATAGACTACCTGGCACAAGCGCACCTCCGCAGCACAAAACAATTTTGTTGTAATCCAAAGCTTCACACACAACTAAAAAACATACCGAATGAACGATAACAACTGTCTTGTGGCCATCATTAACGTGGATGCTGACATTTTTGTAAATAATGAATATGCGTTCTATAAAAGTAGTATCACATTCACTACGCGAATGGGCGGCCATCGCACAGGCACTATTCTATCAAATGAACTTCCAGGGGTTTCAACTCTTGTGAAAACGTCTATCAATATATGTATAATTACTCGTCGACGGTGTCATATTGTATAGAATTATACTTTGACTATCGTGACATATTTTACATATAAATATATATATATATAAATTATACGGACATGAAAGGTTATTTCCAAGCACTATTATATGTATAATTACTTAAAAACGGGCAAGAGAGAGGCTATTTCAGCACGTGTTGAGGACTGTTGGGAGCCTATACTACCTCACAAAGAACATATGGCGTCCTTACACGCACTCGAACCCATACCGATGATTTATTCCAGTCAGTATGGGCGAGTATTCAGATGTCAGACGATCGAGTACAAAAGCGGACAGTTCGCTGGGAACAGTCCGTTCACATAGTGTCGAGGGCCCAACCAGTGGTTTCAAGACAGAGAGAAAGACGGAAAGGAAACGCACAAGCACAGTCGAATACACCGACGTGTCTGAATTAGTACTTACACATTCTTTATCTGCCGATGATTTAACGGGCGACTCAACTCAGATACCACGTGATTTATCTGCCGATGATTTAACGGGTGATTCAACTCAGATACCACGTGATTCACTGAGTTTTTTGTTGGCGTGCTTCCCTGGTATTGATCATGCGCTGCTAGGGGAACTTCTGGACCAGCCGCAGAGCGATGTGGGCTCCATTGTAGAGTTTCTGTTACCTATTTTAGATGAAGGCGATGATGATGATATAGCATCAAAGTCGAACGATAAGAACAATATAGCGGCGGATACTTCGAGTTCAGCAGGAACTAGTGACCTCGGTAACGGACAGTTGGAGATACCAACTAACCAGGAAGCGTTTTTTGAAGGGACTATTAGAGAAGAGTCAAGTCTCTCGCAATACAGTGAAGATTCGCTAGAGAGTATGTCGCCTTGTTTCACTCCAAGCAGTAGCGAACCCAGCCACCTCTCGGCGTCTAGTGACGCCGAGGATATGTCAGAATATACGAGAAAATATAGCGTGGAGACAGAAGCTGCAAATAATAGAACAATCATCGACATGAAGAGCTCTATAGGAAAGGGCGGTGAACCAAAAGGGCTTTTAGTCCACTTGACAACATGTAGGGACATGCAAACTGCACAGAGTAACGATAGACAAATCACAATGACTGAAACATCGGAAGAGTTGATTCACAATAATATAAAGGCTCCGTCTAAGGGAGTGGTGAGTGCATTAGAGTCTAGCGAAGACCAGGAGGGTTTTCTTGCAGCGACTACCTCGTTACCTACTATCAAAGTGGCGCTGATAGCTGCTGATATAATGGAGGATACTAGAGAAGAAGAAAAATGTAATGATAGTAATAATACAGAGAAGACGATGAATTGTATGGCGAACGAACGTCAGAATGTTCAGTTGACTTCGGAAGAGTTCGATATGGCTTTGTTGACTCTGTGCACGATGTTCAGTGACATGTCTGTAGAAGACTTGTCCGTTGCTCTCACGAATGCTAACGGTGATACGAGTGAAGCCATTGATGCGATATTTGCCGGGCAAATCAGTGAAGCGCAAGTGGATGAGAGCGCAAAGACGAACGAATCTTTGAATGCAACCGAAAGTAAACCCATTCTAGTTGTGCCATCTATTCTGAAAGAGAAGTTTCCACTCGCATCTCCGGATGCTTTGGCTGATTTGTATGCGGATTGTGGGTATTCAATAGAAGCGGTATTAGACGTAGCTCAAGAGTATTTCCAAAGGTACACTAGGAAGGATGAGCTTTCAAAGAGGAAAAAAGCCGCCAAAGGTTACACACACTCAGACGACTTCATCGATCGGATGTCATTCGGTCCCTCACAGGTCCACAATGTATGGCACAATCGCAACTTCAATCAGGGCGCTACGGTAGACGAGTTCAGGATGCATTTGTTGGCGGCGAAGCATCCTACGATTGCCAGGCATGTTGTGAATGAAGTTTACGCTATGTATGGATACAGTGCGAGCGCATGTAATGATCATTTGAATCTACTGACCCCCACTGCGACATTAGCGCCATCGGCGAAGAAGGTTAAGAAAGCTGTCCGGAGGTCAAATAAAATTAGAAAAACAACTAGCAAAGGCCGTCAAGACGCAGATGGCTTCACTGAAGTGAAGCGTAAACGCGCAACTCAAGATGAAACAAGACCAGCACCTCAGACATCGACCCTCACCGGCCTGGCGAATACTGTTTATAAATCCAATACAGCTGATCTGAATGCATACGAATTGGCACGCGGACCTGCTCAGGATTTGGCATTGGAGCGTGCGCGATGTTTCCGGAAAGCTGTTTTTGCCTTCCAAAAAAAACATTTCCAGGCTGCCGAGTTTTGGGCTATGGAGGGCCGAGCAATCACAGAACGATTGAATAGGGCGCACGCGAGAGCGGCCGATAAGCTCTTCAAAGCAAAGTGAGTTTGGGGGTTTAATGGGTAGTTAAAGGGATAGTATGGCTACAGATATGTTTAGACATTGCAGTTCGGGCACTTCTACTTAATTTTATATTAATATTTACATCAATATCGCGTGTAACTGCAGCAATCCGGACTTTCCGAACGGGCCTTTGGATCTGCACGGACTGCACGTCGACGAAGGAATACGAATGGTCAAGATCGCACTAGCATCGGGTATGACTTATGCGTTTACTGTAGTTTAGGTGATCCAGTGCGCTTCGTGTACCAATACTACAGTATTTCGACTCTTTGAGCTTATCACATGCTATGTTAAAGTAAGTGCTTAGCTAGCTGCTGGCTTCATGTGTGCTATTAATTTCCTTTTTGTGTGCTCAAAATCTGTGCACACGCCTTGCGGATATCTCCACCGTTACAAACAGGACGGAGACAACAATTCCGCATAATAACCGGCGTGGGATCGCATAGCACTATGCAAGCTAGGCTAAAACCTGCAGTGCGAGCGTTATTAGGTAGTCAAGGTTACGAGCATTTTGAAGAAACTCCAGGAGTTCTGCTTGTGAATTTATCATCATGAAAAGACCAATTTAGTATTTTTGTTCGGCAAGCCAGTGAAGGTACAACAGGCGCGGAAGAGCATGGGGTACGGTGGCGAAAATTGTATCTTCAAGCAAGATAGTCGGCATAACAAAAAGGCACTAAAGCATATAAGATATTTGATGTACTCCAAAAAAAAAGTTGTTCTGAATCTATCGTTTCAGTGATATCGAGATTGCATGGCGGCGAAAGATGCAAAAACGAGGAAGGCATCGAATATTTTTTATTATAATGATCCGGATTGCATGATTCGTTACCGAGTAATAGCTTAGTCTGCAATCTCATTCGGTAGCACCCTGTTAGTTCTTGGTGCATATATATTACTTTAAAATAGGTGAGAAGGTGGCAGCCACATATGCTTGTCTTGCATGCTGCGGCCAATTTCAAATGTCATATTGGTCATGGGTGTATGAATCGCTATCTATAGAAACACGGTCAACGCAGTTCATAGCCTGGCCAACGCTAGTGGTGAAGACGATGCCATCACTACTCCAAGTAGTACTGAACGCACTAGGATCACGGGCATATTGTTTGCTATGAGTCTCTACATCAGCATTGTCGCTGAACGTTGGGTATACCGGAGAAGATGCACGGCGTAGCACTGGGGCTTCGGAGAATGTGGGTAACGAAGAGCGCGTGTACAGTTGATCAACTGAGTGCTTTCTCGGTACGATTGGTATTTCCTGTGTTGGGGTTGGAGACCGCGCAATTGCTAGGAGGCCTTTGGCAACGGCAATGTCCTCTTCCGTCTGTAATGTACGTGTATAAAAGGTGAATCATAAGTATGCAGCACTACACCCAGTTCACAGTTCCATATGTATACACAAATATTTGTGGCTATTCAGACACTCATAAACTTGTAGCAATACAATCCGAGCAAAAGACAATCGAAGTGCACATCAACTCGAACATACCAGTCTGCGCATGCAGTCATTGCCCTTCTTACAAGACAAGCACCAGCCTGCTCTCCTCTTTAACCCCAACTCGAGTCTACAGGTCTCCTGCTGTTGCTGTGCGATGGCCGCGTCTTCAGAAATAAAGCCACTATCCGACCGCTCTCGACGCTTCCATAGGTATTGACTGTAGCTGTCGGTGCGAGCGTTGTTCTCATCGTATGCCTCGTCAGGATAGTCCCGGCCGTTGTGCGTGTTTTTACTACTGCAATATTCTGACGCGGACATTCTGCCGATCGACTCATCGGACAAGGTTCGACTTAACGAGCTATCACTGCCTCTTAATGAATCCACAGAGGAAGTGTAGTGGAATTGTTGTGCCACTCGGTGGTCTTTCCCATGCACACGGTTGGGGTGGTCGGCCGTTCCAGGAACGAGTTCGGCAGTCGAATGCGTTAACGAAGATTGACGCTTAACACCATTTGAAGCCGAATCTTTCACATGATGCTGTGCCATCTGACTTAAGTATGCGCGACGTGCACGCTCCGCAAGACCCGATGAGTGATTGGTGGTTTCCTTCCAGCGAATTGCTAACCTTACCATCTTATTGTGAGCCTTCTCCGACATGTAGCAGCAAAGAAAATGCGAGATCTTTGCCTGAGAACAGCTCAGGTTGGCTGCCATGTCAAACTGAGTGTAATGCTGATCCTTCATGAACTGCCGCAGATCACCGACGAATGTATCATCTGCGGCGGGAATAGTTTAAAAACAAGTGCAACGTAAATATAATGCTGTGTTAGGGAGATAGATAGTCTCGTGCTCACACAAGGCGAGGAATTTTCAACTACTGAGAATTGCCCTAAGTACACTGACCTCTTTGGGGCACATGCTTTGATCTACGTTTGCGCTTCCGCTCTCGTTGCTGTTCTCCAGCGGCCGCATCTGACGACATGCGCTTCGTGTTGCCGTGGAACTGAGAGAAAGAACATTAGGAAAAGGTTAGTTATACTGACTTGTATGGACGAATTAGTCGATAATAAGGCGATTTAAACAATAATTGAGAGGTAATGCAAAATTGTATAGAGTTGAAACCCTTCAGCTTCAGCTACAGATTGTCAAAGGATTGGGCACAGAAAAGAGGTTTAGCAGAGAAGACAGAGACCGAACACTTACCTCTACCACGGCATCCTCCTGGCCGACGGATTCATTTATATTCTCATATATCATGGACGATGGCATGGTGGCGAAGACGACGAACAGTGACAGGAGCGAGTGGTGCTACTATTCAGTACTAACCTGATGAACGTGGAACGAACAATCAAATAGTGACGCTGGACACTAAATACCAGCTAATGATATATCATGAAAATTTCATAATAACCATCATCATGATGAAGAGAATTTCATAATATCACAAACAACGCATTTTTTTTTCACTTGACACAATCTCTACCAGGCATATCAAGCTTTCTAGACTGTTGATATTTGTTCTATAAATAGAACAATATTTCCCCATGCAGTCGAGCCGCAGAGCTGTGTATTTTCTATGCGAGGGACAAATATACGTAACCATGGTGAATCACAAAGCTTTTAAAAAAAAAAAGTCTAAATAACTGTACAGGTTTTCAATAGTCCTCAATTACGAGTTCATTTGTTTTTAGAAAATATTTTTCTGATACTTTACACTGAGCCTCTGTCCATTGAGGCGTCACAAATAGCTATGCTAAACCCAAGAAACCCTAGAGCTGAAACAAGTTTATATTCATATACATGATGTTTACTTTTCGAGAGACAGAGAGTCAGAGGCGTGGCTGCACTTGAATATTGGATGAAGGCAATCATAACCGATCGAATCAACTGCATATGCTGTAGTTGTATTGTTTAGAACCTTATTAGTGATATACACATAGGCTTGAATCTCTGTGAGTGATATAGAACATCCACAGACAACGAAATATATATTCATGGACTTGTCCAAATAGTCGTTTAGTCGATCAGCCGCCATGGTAAAAGTTCAGCCGTCTACGGTCGGCAGAGGGCTGAAGTTCGCCTTTGTGGTGACAATCGTACTAATCATAAAGATTACGAGTGAAAGAAGTGATCCATTTCGTATCGCTTCAAATTTGACTGGAAATGTCGATGCGAAAGTGGGGAGTTTCAGGGCAAAACTACCGTTGGAGCAAACATACGATGTCGTCGACGATAGAAGAGCACCTCACTACCGCCCGGGCATGGACAGGTACATTAATTCAGTATCCTGAACTAAAATAATTTATATAGATTTCTTTCGTATAGTCAAATATATGCCAGATCCTTTCCTCAAATATACACCAATTCGCTTTCCAGAATTATACCGCCTCTTACATATATCTTCCTATATGGTCAAATACATGCTAGCTTCCTTTTGATATTGCGCACAATGGAAGCGGCAGACATTAACTTCACCTTTGATTGTGAATTATGTGTACGCTTAATATGAATATTCGATTGGGAAGGCTCGAAGGTAAACGCAGTCAACGGAAGAGTCTGATGGATAGCTCAAGCTCATGTGATGCCGATGGAAAGCTAGTTTGCACAATGAAGAATGTATGCGTCGACCATACCAATAAAAACCGGATTGTCGTTCTGAACTGGTAAGCAGGCTCGACTTTATGTCCAATCTACAACATGCGACCTGCCCAATTGCATTTTTTACAAGGCACAACCTGTCATTTTATAATATTTGATTGGTTTTTTGATAGTAGCATATTGCGCTGCTTATATGATCTGGGAGTTGTTTTATTCTTGATGTGTGTATCAGATTAAACCGACTTAACGTTTTTTTGACCCTATATAATTATGATTCCTGACCAGAGTTATCCAACTCTTATGTTTATGAGTGCAGGGTTCCTTATCTAGATAAGGCGCATAAGTTATTCTGGGATTTGGGCGACAAGGGACATCCGGAGTTGGACGTAGAGGTGAAAAAAGTGACACCGACGACAGATGTATGTTTTGAATTGATAGTGATTTTGTTGGTAGCTACTGGTTTGCGATAGCTAAGACTAGTCACTGAAATAGTTCAGGTATAAGGTGTATGCTGACATATTGCGATGTTGTTCTACAGGTCACATATATCAATGGAACAACACACTTCTTCCACGAGCGGTATCGTAATCGTTTACACCTAACGATGAATGTGTTTGCTATGCGTCACTTCGTGGAGGAGCAAAGCCCCAATAGAGCTTTCAATCTGATGCTAATGGGTATGTTCAACTACCTGGTTAGGTTTGATTGCGATGCTATACCTCCGAATGAATGTCTTGCAACTTCAATGATAGTTTTATTTTGCATGCGTGTCTTGATGGCGCAAAACTGTGGAGTACTGATTTCTCTATTCTACTCCTTGCTCACCACGAAGATGATTTGCCCTTCAAATACGATCCATACACCGAGCCTGTGCTACAAATGTATCGATCAATAACAAAAGAAAATAAGGTCTACTTCCGTGACAATGCAATTGGACATCAGGGCACGAAGCTCACTTGTTTCGAACGAGGTGTATTCGGGGCTGATCGAGAGATCATTGTACCCGTTATCAAGCCGGCAATGCAGCATTTGCACGTAAGTCCAGCATTGTATACGTTTCCCCCTTAGATTTTTGATGCTTGCTTAGGTACATAGTTGTTTGACTAGAATCTTTCTGGATCTTGTCTCTAGGGCTTTTGAATAGAATCATTTTGTGTTCTGTCTCTAGGGGTCACGTGGTTCTTACCTCGGTGTTCTTATTCGCTTGAGCAGGAATTTCTGGCTCACAAGAACAAAATGATTGCGGACTCGCATGCTACCAAATGGCGTGCTCGTGCGGAGAGAATTCAAGTTCACGCTGAGACATTAAAGACTGCAATTCCGGACTTCAAAAGAACGGTTGTTGCAAATATGAATCTTACCGATTCCGAATGGGATCCTAAGGAGGCACTTCTGATATTCCGTGGACCGACAATACATGGTGCCCGTTCCGATCCACCCTATCGAGTCATAGTGAATGAGGATGAAGTGATCGGCATGTTGGAGCGAAATGGATTCCACATCAACCGAGTCGACTTCGCTGAAATGACACACATGGAACAAATACTCAATTCGCGAAGGGCAGGGCTCTTTATCGGCATGCACGGGGCCGGCATGGCGAATTCCTTCTGGTATGTGCGACAATTGGAGGTATACGTACTGGTCGATACCGACATACTCACTCATGATCATACTTTGTACGATATACGAAGCGGAGTAGTAACTATTTCTCATGTTCGTGCTCGCATTCTCGCTGTAGGACCAATGAGAAGGCGGTTGTCCTGGAGTTGCACACCTACGGGTTCCAGAAATGGGGGTACGAGACACTGAATAACTACGCAGGTAAGCGATGGTCATAATGTGGACAAGTTCATTCCGTTTCGATCGTATTTAAGCACAAAAAGGCGCGTTTATGTCTGCCGCTATGCAGAATAGTTGAACTCAACAAATGCCCCAGCTCGCGATATTTCAGTCGCATTTATGTGGATATACGCCATCACACAGGACATTTACTGCAATTCTCTCCTTCTCTATATGTAGGAACGAAATATCTCAGTTGGGTCAACACAAATGAAAACAACACGGTGCCCACTTGGCACAGCCAGTCGGAAAAATACAATAACGTATGTGCAAAATACTCTATCGTTTCCAAAACAACCTGATCTCATTTTCGATTTATTCGACTTTATACTGCACACAAGAAATCTATCTCGCTTCTCATTCCATTCTATCATAAATATGACTGTCCATTTAGGATCCGGACGGCCGAAATCAACTCAGATCGCGCGACCAATTCATTCCAATCGAAGAGTTAGAACCATTAGTATTAGAAGCAGTCAAGTACCTCGACCAGAAACAATAACACAAGCAACTGGGCAAGCAATATAAACTCAATAAGATAATTTAAGGTACAAACGTGCAAGAAGCCCGCCTTCTTTATTATTATTTAAATCAGTTAGCTTAGTCAGCGCAATTTCGCTGATAAGACATCGCTGATAAGACAAGTTTAATAATAAATTAATTAAAATGTACAAGTGAAAACCATCATAAGGAGTAAAAATAAGCATCAGATTGAATCCAAGCACTTCACATTTATTAATCGCATTAGAATGTCCCCCCTCATCCTTTTCCAGTACATTCCTCCTAGCGTGATGGGCTGTTTTACGCGTTCTCGCGTAATGAGCTAAATACTTTAAGGTAGTACATCATTGTAATCTCCAGAAAGGCCCTACAAAGTAGAATAAATTCGAAACTGAGTACAGCTCGCGTCCACTTGTTTCATACAGATAAGCCTGCATGTTGATGTACCAAATGACATTGTGCTGGAGTGACGGACAGTGTACGGAAAGTGGAAACAAATCTTCATAAAAATTTCCCGTATCCAGAACCAGAATCATACAGCTGAACTGCTATAGTAGGCTGAATAAGAATATCGGCTATAAAAAAACACGAAGATGTCTCAACTGCACACTTCTACAAAATAATACTGTCACAGATTCCTATTTATAAACATGCGTACATGTTCGAAGAAGCGTAAAAATTCATATGTTGTATCCGATTATACAACCTACAATATAGAACGACCATGATACGCGTTTAATGAGTAGACCAATAGACTTAGTATGTGATTGTTCAGTAGCAGATATAAAAAAATTACAAAACCACGAAGTATACATGTTATTTAACTATATAAAAAATATGTTACAAATATATTAATGTATGTATACAAAAACATTCAATTTCAAGTGAATAGAACACACACCCACAACCACCCACGCCCACACAAATAAATAAATGAATATATATATACATATATATATATACCATATGTATTGGATATAAATGAAACATACATAAACATAAACATATACATATGCATATATAATATATATATATTTGTATATGTAAATCTGTACATATACAAAATAGAGCATACATAGGAGTATATATAACATAATACAGCTGTTTTGATAAATTATACAAATTTAATAGAAAATAATATTTATATATACATATATATATATATGTATATATATAACTTATAAATACACATATATCTCTGAGTACGTGTTCGGTCTATACTATATTTCACTCATCATGTTTCCAACATGAAGAAATAGGCGGCGTTTACACATACCATTTTCTGAAAAACGCAATCGTCAAACGCCTTTTGCGTCTTTCTACATTTCCAGTTTTCTTGATTGCTGGTATCGAGGCATTGCCAATGCGCCGTGAATTCCGCATTGCAATTGTCTTTCAGCTTCTGAAAACTATTGTTTGTCAAATTAAACGTAGCAGCACATTAATGTTTCAACAGCTTAATTCAGAATTGATACACCAGCGACCACTTAGACGGCATTCCTCGACAACAACGATAGTTCCGATAGTAGCGATATAGGATTTTTTTACCACGTCGAGAATAACTGTATAATAAACGCAATATACAGGGCACATACAATTCTATACCGCACGCGGTAACCTTTTTTCCTTCCTCTACACATTTGGCCGGGTCTTTCTTGTCGTATTTGCAGTACATAAAAGCATCATTCTGCGCCTTGCAATACTGTCCATAGTGTCTTGCACCGGCGAGTAGTACCGCTGTAATATTGAAATGATGGTAAAGGTGTTTGTACATGTTCGAAAATGACGGATCCAATGACTAGGTACTCATCGCAAATGCATATGCGTGTAAAAATCAGATAGCACCTCTGAATAGCAGTACTTTGCGATTCGATTTCACAAACAACAGCATGGTACATACGTGTTGTGATGTTGTGTTGTGCATTTGCGTCGCGCAACGAACTCGTATCGTTCGAACGACGTTCATTTATCCACAAAACTCGTCTTATTTTTTAACAGAATAGGAGCCTATATTGGTCGGTCGAAGTGCAAGTGACCACAAAACTAGTCTTGTACTTTAACAAGATACAGTGACACACTTTGTATAATAGCCAGCATACATTCAAGTAGTAATAAAATTTATCACCCAGAAGATACGAGGTATTATAAACATACACATACAAAAACACATACACCGCCACAGCCATAGACACAGACACAGACATATATATATATATATATATATATATATATANATATATATATATATATATATATATATATATATATATATATATATATATATATATATATATATATATACACACACACACACACACACACACACACTACACACTACACACACACATACACACACACACACACACACACACACACACACACACACACACACATATATATATATATATATATATTTATTCATTTATATATTCATTTGTATAATTTTATGTATACGTATTCATATATATATATACTCCTGTCGCTAGTTCTAAGAATATTGTCCTCGATGTGATCGTTGATACAGTCCTATTTAAGTAGTTAAACACTGTTCAATACATTCCTTGTTTATTCAGAGTCGAGTATTCAAAGAATTCCGCAGAGAAACTGCTGTATTAAAAAAGATTAATGTCGAAGCCATGTCTGAGGTGGAGCTGATGGCCTTTTTCCTGAATGTGTATAATATGTTAACGGTCCATGGGCTGACTAAGTTAAGGTAAGATGTAGTCTGCATAGTGTGAGCGAGCTTTAGCTTTGTTTTGTAAGCAAGTAATGCTTTGCCTGTGCTATATCATGAGTACGCACTGCTTTGCCTGTGTTAGATTTTAAGGAGGTGTTGCTTCACCTGTTATATGATGAGCATACATTGCTTTGCCTGCAGGTGTCACTTCAAGTATGTATTGCTTTATCTGTGTTATACTATGAACATACATTGCTTTTCCTGTAGGTGCTGATTTATACAACTATGCATTGCTTTGCATGTGTTAGATTTTAAGGAGACATTGCTTCACCTGTTATAGGATGAGCATACATTGCTTTGCCTGCAGGTGTTACGTCAAGTATGTATTGCTTTTATCTGTGTTATACTATGAACATACATTGCTTTTCCTGTAGGTGCTGATTTATACGACAGTCTTCCCTGCGCATCTAGTTATAAGCAAACAATAGATTCTAAGGCTATGTATGGTCTTATGATGTGCAACTATGCATTGCTTTGCATGTGTTAGATTTTAAGGAGACATTGCTTCACCTGTTATAGGATGAGCATACATTGCTTTGCCTGCAGGTGTTACGTCAAGTATGTATTGCTTTTATCTGTGTTATACTATGAACATACATTGCTTTTCCTGTAGGTGCTGATTTATACGACAGTCTTCCCTGCGCATCTAGTTATAAGCAAACAATAGATTCTAAGGCTATGTATGGTCTTATGATGTGGACATTCTACTATAGTTTAGTCGGTGGTGTGTGTGTGGCAATGAGTGTATCATGTTTGGTGTGTGTTGTGTGTTGTGTGCTCTGTGTGTGATGATTTTTAGTTTTCTCTCGAGTGGTACAGGAGAGTGCTGCTGCTATTCTGTTTTGTCAGTAGAAGACGGTGACTTTGTGGCGAGGGTGATATGGGTGTTGTGTTACTTGATTTGCTGTGTGAAAGTCTATGTGAACACGTGTAAACCTGGTTTATTCTCGTTTCGGTTTGTGTCAATTTCGAATAGTCCCCTTTTCATGCAATTTGACTCGCTTACGCGACTGAATCACGAACACAAGCGGTGTAGGTAAACCCTAATCCCCAAATCCTAAACCCTAAACCCAGCTAACGCTTAAACTAGCAATGCACCGGATTTATGTAGTGTACACTACCCATATGCCAACAAATTTAAACCTGTCCTACGAAACCCTAAAACTCTAAACCCCTAAACCCGGTGTCCTACATGCACTTGCACGGCTTATGCAGACCGGCGACTGTGTTGGCCGTGAAGAACTTTTGGGAAAACACGTGTTACAACATAGGGGGTGACATCTACTCACTGGACATCATCGAACACGGCATCTTAAGACGTATGTTTGTGCTGTTGGTTGTGTGTGTGTGTGCTGTTAGTTGTGTATGTGTATGCTGTTGGTTGCTATTGTATGACTGTGCATGCTGTTGACAGCACTGGCACCCCATCGTATCTGCTCTACTTGTGCACGTGGACACTGACTACCAAGTTAACGTTGTAGTCACATCTCGTTAACGTGTGTGTGTGCTAAGCTGTGTATGTGCCTCCGTCTACTCCTGAGCTATGTGTGATATGTGTGGTCATCACATGTAGTGTGTGTGTGTGGTGTGTGTGGTCATCACATGTAGTGTGTGTGTGTGTGTTGTGCGTGTACTGAGTTGTGATGTGTGTGGTTTACGGTCATCACATGTAGTGTGTGTGTTTGTGTGTTGTGCGTGTACTGAGTTGTGATGTGTATAGTCATCACATGTAGTGTGTGTGTGTGTGTGATGTGTCTGGTCATCACATGTAGTGTGTGTTTGTATGATGTGTGTGTGGTCATCACATGTAGTGTGTGTGTGTGTGTGTTGTGCGTGTACGAGTTGTGATGTGTGTGGTCGTCACATGTAGTGTGTGTGTGTGTGTGATGTGTGTGGTCATTACATGTAGTGTGTGTGTGTGTGTGTGTGTGTGTGTGTGTGTGGTCATCACGTGTGTGTTGTGTGTACTGTGTAGTGCACTTCTCATGCCTGTATTGTTGAGTGTGTTAATTGATTCTTTTCGTTGGTGCCCTTGTGGTACTGCACTCTAACTCAGCCGCAGATAACAGTCAGTCTTATTCTTAACTAAACGACAGCAGGTACAAGGGCTGTGTGTAGCGTTTGTTTTGCCTTCGTTCTCGTTCTTTCAATCCAGTGATAACTTCACATCTGCTGTCTGTAATGAGGATGTGCGGTTGACTTATCTGTTGGAAGTGTTTTGCAATAGTTTGTTCTTCAGAGCCGGCTCAGAAATATTCACATTACTTTCAACGCCTCAACAAAAACCCTAAACCCTAAAACCCAAAAACCCTAAAGCCTCATCAAATTACAACCAAATCGGCATTCCTACGGAGTGGCCGATGATGAGGGTTCTCGAGAGTATTGCTAATAGTGTAATCAATAGTCACCTATACACACCATCCCGCCATGACTCATTGTTAAGGAAGATAAAAACCAGATGCGTAAACCGTTTCAAACAATGCGTAAACCGTTTCAAACAATGAGTAAACCGTTTGTTCGTCCCCTGGCTCCAATACTTCAGGAAATAAAGTGCATCCCGACGGCAAAAAGACAGCTCTGCCCGAGGGTGACCCGCGTGCGACGTTATTGTCGACGGCAGATCCACGCATTCACTTTGCGCTCAATTGTGGGGCTAAGGTGTGTTGTCTCGCACTACGCGTAACGTGCATGGCCGCCGGACTAGTGTTTCTGTATATACCGTAGTTAGGTGACCTCGTAGTGTTGTAGTGCTTTAGTGTATGGGTGACTATTATTTCTATATATACTGTAGTTGGGCAACCTCGTAGTGTTGTGCTGCTTTAGTGTGCGGGTGGCTATTGTTGCTTTACATACTGCAGTTGGGTGACCTCGTAGTGTTGTACTGCTTTAGTGTGTGGGTGACTATTGTTGCTGCATATACTGTAGTTGTGTGACCTCGTAGTGTTGTACTGCTTTAGTGTGTGGGTGACTATTGTTGCTGCATATACTGTAGTTGTGTGACCTCGTAGTGTTGTACTGCTTTAGTATGCGGGTGACTATTGTTTCTGTATATACTGTAGTTGGGTGACCTAGTAGTCTTGTAGTGCTTTAATGTGCCGGGGTTGATTCTTCTGATTGGACCGTAGAGTGCAGTTTCCATTGCTGAATGTGGCTATGTGTTTCAGTCAGTGAGTCTTCCAGTGTAACTGGTCATATAGTTATACGGGTGAAGTTAGAATATCGCACTACCAGATGAACCCTAAACCCTAAACCCAAAAGAGCCAAATATCCTCAAAACCCTAAACCCTAAACCTAAGAGTGCCATATGTCTTTAATCCCCTCTAAGCCAGTGTATGTGACTAAACCCACGGACAAGCAATTGCTGTTCGTTGTACGAAGGAAATTGACAGTGGTTGGTTTAAACAACTCGCACTTGCTGCATCCATACCCCTCACCGTCGATGTACATTTACATGAGATATATGCATCCATACCCTCACCGTCTTTGTACATACAGTCTATCAACATAACACATTCACAGTCCATGAATATAACACATTCCAAATTCTCGCATCGAATAGCGTGCACACCGGGCCACATTGCATCTCTGAATACTTATTGAATCGTTGCTAAGCGATACACACCCACCCCACCCCCAACCAGCACTCATACATTGCGTAACATTCTGTATTCAACAGTCTTGTCCTCCGATCAGAATCTACTCCGAAATGACTTTGGAGCGAGGCTTAAACGCCGCCACCAGAAACTTTGTGGAGAACAACACGAAAATAGACATGGCCAAACAAGAGGTATGAGCACATGGGATGCACCACACCACAGGAAAATAAGCGCACGACGTGTGACAAAATAAGCTCACGACAAACAAAATACACATTCAATCGATCGCATCTGTGGACCATCTGACTTGTGGTTTGCGGTACGAGACGAAACATTCTTATCCCCATTCATACACACACACACTTGCATGCACACCTACACACTTGCATGCACACACACACACTTGCATGCACACACACACACTTGCATGCACACACACACACTTGTATGCACACACACACACTAGTATGCACACACTTGCACAATCTAGCTCGTAGATAGGGACAGTGGGAATCTCGGTAGTTCATTCATGCGCGTCACTGAACAGCTCAGCACAATGGCGGGAGTAGGGAGTGTTCTTATGCGAGGAATGGTGTGCGACCGCTGGTTGCTATGCAACCATGTCTTAGGGTTTTCAGGATTTTAATGAGGTTTTCATACGACGTGACAATTGCGCAAGGAATTGTTTTGTGGAAGGTGATTGCAGTAGAAGGTGCATTAGAGATCCAACATATTAGCAATGACACTGTCATATGTGTCACTGTGACATGCCCATGTCAGTCACTGTGACATGCCAGTCACTGTGACATGTGTCATTGTGATATGTGTCACGTGCGAGTTCTTATTACGCATGGGAAAGGGAACAGTTTGTCTGCCCACCATTCATGACAGCCTTTTTGCTCGCTGTGCTTACGCAGTCGTACCAAATAGAGGTCTACCGTTTAGATTCTTTCCTCAGGTTACAGATATTTCAGTTTTTAAGGATATGCTATCCTGTCAAAATGATAGTGACATGTGACTTTTATCTTTGTTCTAATGATAAGTGACATGTGGCATCTGACTTTACATATATATATATATATATATATATATATATATATATATACATACATATATACATATAAATATACATATACATATATATAAATATCGATATCGATGTAGATATAGATATCGATATAGATATCGATGTAGATATCGATGTAGATGTAGATGTAGATGTAGATATAGATATAGATATATGTATATATAAGTCTGTCAAATCGCCAAACATGCTGACCGTCCGACATGCACGTTTCCACTGGTGCGCTCACACCCACAGATCACCATCAGCCAACTGTTCCAATGGTACAAGGCTGACTTTGGTGAAAGCATCGCTGACGTCATGGCTTTTATAGAGACGTACCTACCAGAAGACGAGGAGGATGAACTACGCACACAGTACATGACACTCAAACAGAAGGTAGACCGCGGAGAAACCGTATCAGTCGGTTACGCACAGTACAAATGGGCTCTGAATGCTGCATAGCCCAACCACCAGAACAACAACCGCCGAGCATGGAGACAGACACCTAACTGCTAACACAAACAGGGGTTAAACAACTAGGGATCACAAACGCACACAGTCACAGATCATCATACTAGGCTGTATCATACTAGATCATCATACTAGGATGTAGCATATTAGATCATACTAGGCTGTATCAAGGAGTTGTATATGCTCATCCACTATACAGACGACCAAATAGAATAGCATAACTACTATGCACAGGCACAAGCAGTCATCAGAAGTACTTAAAAGTACTACCAACAAATTAACGACACGCTTAAACAGTCAAGCACAACTACTAACCATAGGCACAAACAGTCATCAGGAATACTTAAATGCACTACTAACAAATCACAGTTATGAATGGCAATTTCTTCACGAGAAAAGGTGACGTAGAAGCATGAAAATAATGTGATAAATACAAGTTTGATAAAGATGCGTGTGACGAAATGAGTGTGATCAGAAGAAATGCGACAAAGATAAGTGCGGTATAGACAAGCGTGTTAAAGACAAGTATGTTAAAGATGAGTGTGTTGACGATATGCGTGTTTTAGACAAGCGTGCTGTAGACAAGTATGTTAAAGACAAATATGTTAAAGTTGAGTTTGTTAAAGACAAATATGTTTAAAATGAGTGTGTTAAAGATGAGTGTGTTAGAGACAAGTATGTTAAAGATGAGTGTGTTAAAAGTTGAGTGTGTTAAAGATGAGTGTGTTAGAGACAAGTCTGTTAAAGATGAGTGTGTTGAAGATAAGTGTGCTAGAGATACGTGTGGCGATTCGTCTCATTGTTTTCTGTTCCGTGGTAACATCACAGTAGGCTTCTTGTGTCTATTTGAAAAGGCTTTGGCAACACAAAATCTAGCTACAGGTGAAATTGATATATCACTTTGTCCTTGTATATTGTCTTTATTTCTACACATTTAAAATTAAATGGCGTTTGCCATTTAAACTACTGCCGTCTTAAATAATGACTAGTGTCTTGCGGATGCGGTCTCTCCGAGTCATTGCGTCTAAACCTGTACCGACTCTAAACGCGAATTGGAATATAATAGTCTGTTGTATGACTTCGTGTTTGCTTGACTGAGGAGTAGAGAGCTTTGAATTCGTCGGGAAAATCGCCCAACATGTACATGTGAACTGATTCGCGATTGTCGCGTATAAACACCGAGTGCGACAGCCGTTACAAGTGCAAATACGACATTGCTATCACAGTAGTACCGAACGGATCTAGACACTAAACAGTTCTTCACTATTAAAGTATTCAAAGCAACTTCCATATTGATCAGGGAAATAAAACATTAACATCGTTCTAATCAAAATAAATAAAATCAAATGTGTGTACACACTTGACCCTCGTACACCACTGTGGTGTGTGGACTCAATCACAACATAAACTTCAGTCTTGTGTTTCTTCCCTTTGTCCTGGATCTAAGACACACAATGTCTGAGCTTGAGCTTAATCGTTTGGCGTTGGATAGCATTTTGATGTCCCTTGATACACAGATTCTGTCACCGAGCTGCACAGTTTCTAATGTGAAGTATAATAAGCTATCCCGGGATGATACACTACACTTTCAAATTGAATAGACGTTTTATGGAGTTTCTGTTTTCGCGTTGTCATGCAACGGCACGTTTGCTTTACGACGTGCATGGCTACCACTGGGCCTCAGAGTCACTATCGGAATCACTATCGATGCGTGAACGAATATAAATTATGAACGAAGAAATGAATACTTCCAATGTGCAAATGCGGGTGAGAATTGCAACTCCGCTTATAAATGAATAGGTATATCGTAATTATGCATTTATGCAACCTCTCTCTAGAGTCTTTTAGTCTTGCTACTGATTCGAATGTTCAATGTGTCTTTCATTGGTCGAATGAAAAATGCGCTCGAGTGTGGACACCGTTCAGCTCCAACCCTAAACCCTAAAACCCTAAACCCTAAAAGTTTACGTGTGAGTGCCAGTCAGAGCCTCACAGCCATCAGACGATCACTGATCAGACGCATCTGACACATTTGACACATGTGACACATTGGACACATTCGACGCATCTGACATGTTGACGAAACCCCTAAAACCCTAAAATATAAATATTACACGCCGTGGTAGGCTGGCAGGGTCGGGTGATGTCACAGATGTACTTCTCGTTACATATTAGGCAAACAAGAGCATCAATAGTGAGTACCGATAGGCAATATATAAGCGAGTATCAATAGCATATATGCACATAAGACACAATATTCAGTTGAGTGTATAGCAATATATTTACCACAGCAACCATGTTTGGTCTTCGAATCGCTTCCGCCCTGCGTCTATCCTCAGGCTGTGGAGGTGTAGGTATGTCTGTGCATGGCCTACTCCATACTTCAATTTGTTTACCTCACATGGCCGAGTGAAGCGTACAGAAACCATCTAGTTGACCATCGAGTTTTAGTTTGAGCAGTACATTCTAAAAGGGTCATATTAACTGCAAACTTAAGCTCAATTTCAATTTACACATCCCAATGTAGATAGATTATCTAATATGAACATACATAACTTCTGTCGCAACACGGACGTTCATCTACCACTGTGCAATGTATAATCAAGGGCCAAATATATGGTCACTAGCATATATATATATATATATATATATATATATATATATATATATATATATATATATATATATATATATATATATATATATATATATATATATATATATATATATATATATATATATATATATATATATATATATATATA